TGCTACATGTCACTGCGCAAGTGAAATAAAAAGTGAGAGGGTTTTTAGTCACATGTACTGTGTTGTTGTTCTTTATGACACAACATGAGAAGTTTATGATGCCTGAAAGGTCACCTTTTCCATATTCAGGTAAAAGCTTGCACACTTTCTCACCTCAGTAGCTGCACAGACAGTTAATGCAGCGTAATGGAGTGAGCAATCTCTTATCTTTTAAAGAGGAGGACCTCATTATCTCCTGTGCTGTTTGTATTTGAGTGGATGATATTTTCCTCAGCCTCCTGTGGGGGGCCATCATAGAATCATAGGTTTGGAAGGTACAGCCAAGGGTCATCTAGTCCAACCCCCTGCAATGCAGGAATCTCAGCTAAAGCATCCATGACAGATGGCCATCCAGCCTCTGCTTAAACACCTCCAAGGAAGGAGAGTCCACAACCTCCTGAGGTAGTCCGCTCCACTGTTGAACAGCTCATACTTTCAGAAAGTTCTGACAGTAAAAGTTCTGATGTTTAGTCAGGAGGATAAAATGTCATTTTCACATATTCACTCTCACTTGCTCAATATTAAAGATGAAATGAAAGAGGATGAAGGGAAAGGTCCTGACCCATTCTGTGGGATCAAAGTCACTCTCAGCAAGAACAGCAGTAATAGCAAATGGATGGTCACCATGGGTCACATTCACAACATACTTTTAAATGGCTTTCCCCATTGCTGGGCACTGTAGTTTGTTAAGAATGCTGGGAACTGTCTCTATGAGAGGGTAAACTATTGTTCCCAGTTGCGGGTAGCCATGTGCCTGGAAGGTGTTTTAGCCGCATGGTGTGGATATGGCCATGAAAATCCATAAGCAACACACAATGTAAAGAAAGTCAAAGTAATGTTTTCCAAAATACCTTAGGGCCAGAAGTGGTGACTCTACATGTTACATCACACATCTTGTGCCTCACAAGCAAGCAGGCGAGAGGCAGCAGCAGGACAGAGGGAGAAAGTAATGTGGATTGGACTCTGTTAACCCCCAAGACCCCTGCTTTTATTTTTGTACTACTCATCAGGGTATAAAGTTGAATGATAAGCATTAAAAATCAATAAGAGAGAGAGAAGCCATGCGAAATGAAAGGATTGTGCCACATAAATATTTCATGCATCTGTAATTTTCAGTGTTGGAGGATTTATGAGACCCCATAATGGTTTACAAGGGAAACAACACATTTCAATGGACCAGCACAATCAGTATGCTGTGGTGTTCTTTATGGCTCTGGGTAATTAAATAAATAAAAGGTAAAGGTACCCCTGCCCGTACGGGCCAGTCTTGACAGACTCTAGGGTTGTGCGCTCATCTCACTCTAGAGGCCGGGAGCCAGCGCTGTCCGCAGACACATCTGGGTCACGTGGCCAGCGTGACGAAGCTGCTCCGGCGAACCGGCACCAGAGCAGCACACAGAACACCGTTTACCTTCCCGCTATAAAGCGGTCCCTATTTATCTACTTACACCCGGGGGTGCTTTCGAACTGCTAGGTTGGCAGGCGCTGGGACTGAGCAACGGGAGCGCACCCCGCCGCGGGGATTCGAACCACCGACCATGCGATTGGCAAGTCCTAGGCGCTGAGGTTTTACTCACAGTGCCACCCGCGTCGCCAATTAAATAAATACAGAGGAAAAAATTACTGTCTTGGGAGCAGAGCATCACCAGAAGGAGGCATCCCTTTGCCACACATTAGTGAGAAACCTGTTTCTAAAACATTCCAGCAAAATAATAAAGGAAAATGCAGCAGTTAAGCATCGTGATGGACACGTGATGGACAACACTCCCAAATGTAGCATGAAATGATAGTGCCAGTATTGATACTTGCATTTTCTCGTAGATTGTGGTGTTATTTTGAATTGTTAGTATTTTGCTGATGTTTTGATGTTTCATTATTTGTTTTACACTGTATTGTATGTAAACTGTTGTCACATGAGACAATAGATGGACACAGAACCTTTCTAAACGCAATGTGGTACTTTTGTGGTTCACAACACACAACAGTGTATTTTATTTGTTTTATTAGAATTCTTACCCATCTTTTCCCATAAGGTCCTAGGGTGGGTTACAAATTTGCATCCAATTCTCCAATACTCCAATCTTCTTCCAATACTGTTGGAAGAGAACTGAAGTCATTTCTGCAAAAAACACTTTTTCAGAGGGAGGGGGAGCTATTTCCAACACACCTGGGAATGGACAACATATACAGTTAAATTAGAACAATACCCATAACAACAATCAAGAGTGTTTTTCCTAGCTCTTTGTCACTTTACCTTCTGCCAACTCCCTAAGCAGAAACAGCCTTGGGCGCTTCACCAGATTTCCTCTCTTATTTATCTCACAACACCCAGTGGCCATTTCCTAGCTTGAGATGGTTAGCCTCCAGTTATTGCTGCTTACCTTGTCATGTGCTCAAACTGCAGATTTTCTAGCATTTCAATTAGTCTGCACTTCTCCTAATAATGGAGTGTCCTGGGGCATCACCAAGCATTAGAGGATTAACTCTTCTTTTGCTTCCCCCCTCTTAGATGTTAGTGTGATGCTCATTATAAGAGATCAGCCCAAACCCTTGAGGCTGAAAGATACACATCTCTACAGCTTGCAGTTGTGTCTTAAAGGCTCTGCATTTGGGCATCACACACTTATAGTCTGCGTTTTGCACACAGAGCAGGAACTCTTATCTCCTCTGCAAGGGTTTAATTAGCATTAAAATTATGTGGCTTATCCCATACAATATGCCTCCTTTGATAGTTGAGCCTGTCTTGCTGATAAGCTGGTTGTTGCCATGCCAAGAAAGAGGGACAAAGAATAAAATATATAAAACAGTGTGGGGCCAGATATTCTCCTCTTTCCATTTTGAGGTAGTTTTTGCTTGTGTCTGGAATAATAGGTGATGTGAAAATCCCGAGGTTTTTTGTTTTTTTTTATCCAGTTCAACAACATTATGTTCCCTGGTTAGATCTCTACTATTTACCCTGGATGCTGTTGTTTTCTTCTTCCTGGATTAGTTAATTGGATGATTCCACCCAATCAGGGATCACAAAGTGATGTCACAGTGCAATATAGCTGATAGCCATCCGTTGCATGATTGAGTAATTTGCTCATCTAAACAGCACACTTGTAATGGACTATTACAAGGGGACGCAGGTGGTGCTGTGGGTTAAATCACAGAGCCTAGGGCTTGCTGATCAGAAGGTCAGCGGTTCGAATCCCTGTAACGGGGTGAGCTCCCATTGCTCAGTCCCTGCTCCTGCCAACCTAGCAGTTCGAAAGCATGTCAAAGTGCAAGTAGATAAATAGGTACCGCTCTGGCGGGAATTAAACGGCGTTTCCATGCACTGCTCTGGTTCACCAGAAGTGGCTTAGTCATGCTAGCCACATGACCCGGAAGCTGTACGCCGGCTCCCTCGGCTAATAAAGCGAGATGAGTGCCGCAACCCCAGAGTTGGTCACGACTAGACCTAATGGTCAGGGGTCCCTTTACCTTTACCTTACTGCATTGAAGGAACTTCTAGGAAGGCTGCACATTTCAAGGGCCATAACTCTCAGTCCTAGCATTTACTCAGGGAGAGAGATGGGAGGCTCCATCAATTTTGGTTCTCCTGATTTCTCATTTTTTCAATCCTAAATCCAGTTATCCACATTTCTGAATTAAAACAAATGTTGGTATGCAGTATTAAATAACACACAGAGTTTTGCAAGCAATATCTCCTAATAGAATACTTTTTATATGTTATACTCATTTGTTGTGCTCACTTTCCCCTAATACTCGCACTTTTGTAAACATTGTTAGGTTAGAGAACTGCACCACAAAATTTGGATAATTGCAAATTTTGAAGGGTGGGTGAGAGCTGAATCAATTTTCTCTCCCATCCCTACCCATTGGTCAACTCCCTCATTCCTGCTCTTCCCAAAGGGTGGAAGAGGTGCTGAGGGGACAGAGATGGTAGGTTGTGTGTTTGGAGCCGAGGAAGTCCAAGGAGGTAAGGCAGGAATCCTTATTTGACTTGGATTTTGTTTGATGTTTGATATTACAAACTAAGCTGGACATAAATTGTTCTGCATTGTATCTGACTAAATCAGAGTAGGTCCATTAAAGCCAATGGACTTAAGTTAGCCACAACTAATTTATCTCCCATCAGCTTCAGTGGGTCTTCTCTAAGTAGGACTTAGTCACATGCAGCCTTCTGAGCCTCTCCTGCCTTAAATCCCCCCAGCCACCCAATATGAGTTCTTTTCTTGTTGACCCTGATGCCTGTATATCACCAGCATGCATAATGATTGCTTTCCCCTGTTTTGTATTTGCAGATGGATAATGATTGTTGAGTTGCAGATAATTGTCTTGACCTTTTGCTTTATTTTTCAGAATTGCCTGCATAGAGCGAAGGCTATTACCCTTTGTAATAATGCCATGGATACTTCAAAGGTCATTTCATAAAGCACAGTTGTACAAAAGATGTTCATCATATTTCTAATAAGGGCAACACATGGTCAGCTTTCAGCATAAATAGAACTATCTTCTAAGCTTTGGTTGAAGCAGATTCATTAGAGGAGGGTTTATTTGGATAAGCAAATATATTTTGAGAAGGCCAGCTATATTGGAGTGCAGTTTTCCTCCTCTGAAGTTCCATTCAAAGTACAATTTGGGTTTCCTGTTGACCTTCCTTTCAAATATTATAAAGGTCAATTCACACAATTCCTCCAAAAAAAGAAAAAGAAAAGAAGAGCACTTAGCTTCTTTTGCCCTGGGCACTAGCAAAATTGAAAAGAAAAGAAAAATGCATTTCAACTTCAGTGGTAGAAGTCCTGAGTCCTGGAAGCGTGACTAACTAGGATGCATTTGTTTGTTTGTTTGTTTGTTTCATTTTGTGGATTCCTGGATTATTCAAGATGGTGGTTGGGAAGAAGGGTCATACTTTAGTGGTGAAGCACACTCTGTGTGCAGAAGGTTACAGATTCAGTGCCTAACAGCTCCAGGTAGGCCTGGGATAGCTCAGTAGGAAGAGCAGGAAAATCTTGATCTCAGGGTTGTGGGTTTGAGCCCCACGTTAGCCAAAAGATTCCTGCATTGCAGGGGGTTAGGCTAACTCTACAGTTCTATGATTCATTCTATCCCAAATCCCGGGGAGCCTCTGCTAATTGCTGTAGATAATACTAAGTCAGATGAACCAATGGTCTGGTTCAGTATAAGGCATCTTCCTATGCCTCCTCTTTTCTTGTCCTCTGTGCCCAACCAAGCCATTATTAGTATTCTGCAGTGCTATTTTTCTAGAAAAAGAGGTGCTGGAACTCGCCATGAACAACTCCCTTGTTCTCTTAGAATGGCAATGGCGCCCAACTGAGAGGTGCTGGAACTGAGTTATTCTGGTTATTCTGGCAGGCATTTGATCTTTGAGACTGAAAGTGATTTTAGTGACTGATCCTCTTGTTTTTAAATTGTTTTAAACTGTTACATTTCTTCCCATTGTTATTATTTCTTGGGTTGTTTAATTGAATTTTAAAAAACATTTTTTTGTATTTTTTTGTTTTAAATATTTAGCTGCCCTCAGCTCTGTGAATACAAATGAAAGGTGGGAGATACATATTACAAGTTCATTCACTGTCCCACAAGAAGTGGGAGGAAACTATTTTTTTGGGGGGGGGGGAGTGTCAGTGTCAGATGAAGCTCCTGAGTTGACCACTGACTTCCAGGCTGTCTTCCATAGGATGTACAATGTTTCTCCAAAGTATCTAGAAGAAATTCAACCCTCCAGCTTGCTCTAATGTAAGACATGCCACAATGCATTTTAATTGGGAACTCCACTTAATTAAACGATCAAGCAATTCCTTTTGTTCTTCTTAGACAGCAGTAAGACTAGATGAGCAACACAAGAGACTTCCTGAATCTCTTTAATATGTCACTCAACTTTGCTTTGCATCACTCCCAAACTAATACTTTCCCCCTAACTTTTACTTTAAAAAAAAAAAAAAAGCCTAGTGGTTTTTTATTTTTTAAGTAAAAAACTGGCAGGTTTTCCCTTGGTTGCATCTAATATCAAAATCAAGATTTATTAACATTACAAAGAGCACCACTCTCGTAGAGTGCCCCTTTTATCATTCTAAGCAGCTGCCTTCAGGCAAAACATTTAACCTTGGGAAATGCGATAGGAATTGTGGGAAGCCAGAAATCTTTGAAACCCTTTGAATTCAGCCAGAAATCTACTATCCAGCTTGAGCTGAAAGAAGACGAGGCCCTTATTTTCATTTGATGTTTATCAATTCTATCCGTTGCATTTAAAATTGAAAGATATGGCAGCTCTTACTTATAAACAATGACTTTTCATTTTTCCTTAAAGCAGTCCAATGATGAAAAATACACCTTTACCCCACTGGGAATGCTATTAGGATGAAAGCAGCCAGGAAGAGAAAGAAGAAAAAAGCTCGCGTGCACTAAGTGTTTAAAATAGGACCACAAATGATCTTATCTATTATTCTGGCTGTTTTATAGCAAAATGATAAATTTTGTGTTCCGCTTTCCTTTTATATCACCTGTTGCCTCTGCTAGAGTAAAAGGAATGGTATGTCAATTATAAGTCCTTCTTTGGCAGTTGGCTATATTTCCGGTTGCAAAACGAAACAGAACAAGATGGATGGTTTATTTTTCAAAATCTTATTGTAACAATCTGCCCAGCACTGAGAAAAACTAACAGCATCCTCCAAAATGAGAATTACCTGTAGTAAGAAATACTTTCATAAATGCTTTGGACTGCATAATTGTCACTGAGAACTCACTTAAAATGCGTAAAGAAAGACATTTGAAGCTCAAAAACAAAAGAAATATGCTGGTGTGGAATGGGTGAACCAGTTTAAGCTGGGAAAGTAAGCCTGCAGCTTTTGCATCCTACAAACATAGCAGTTTTGCCACCCACCAGTAGCATTTGGTGTGGTGCCACAGACGGGGAAGCATTGCTCACCTGCCTTCCCAATGCTGAGCATCGCCAGCAGTTCCTGAGAGGGACAGCAGTGAGGTACAGGCTGCAGGTGAGGCAGTGAAACCAGTCTGACACCCCTGCCTCCACACTTGCACTATTCTGAACTCCCTGCCCCTCATCTGTCACCCACTTGGGAACTGGCAGAAAAACTCAGCATTAGGAAGACCAGTGAACAATGCTGCCCTGCCCCTCTGACTGCTACTGCATCAACCCCTTCCCTTTATTGTTGTTGTTGTTTTGGCCAGCCTCTTACCATGTTGAAAGTTCTGTCCAGCACCACCACCAGCTAATCTTTCCCTGACAATATCCCATTAAGCCCTTCCAGGGGTGCCTACTTTAATAAAATATTGGAGGGGGCAGGTAAGCCCTGCCCTATATAATTGATCACAAGACACGGTGCACACCCCCCATTTGAATGGTAATGCCCATCAAATTGGGGGAGGCCCAGCACCCTCAAATATTTTTCATGGGTGCCTAGGAGCTGGCTCCTATGAGTCCTTCAGGTTCTCCTTGCCTGTCAGAAGGGAGACTTCAAAGTTTTAAAATGTCAGATCTGTGCTGTATTTGTCTCCCCCACATAATAAGCATAATTTATAGTCTCAGATATATTAATACTTGATAAGTAATTTAAAGAATAATTTCAACTGAATATGTGGCATGCAAACCCAAAAATTCGTCAACCACAAATTGACATTGGCTTTGTTTCACATCTCCAAGACACACTAACTACCATGACTTTCTTTCTATTCATATTTTAATCAGAACATTAATTACAGTGGGAAATTGCACACATGTTAAGCTCCCTGGCAGCAGCTGGCCTTAAGGAGACTATTCTCTGAGCAGGTAAATGACTATGGAAGGTTCAATTATAGGTGTCCTCTAACTTTCACAGATTTAATTCTCGTAAGTCAGAGGTCTTTCTGCTTAGCTCTCACCACCTGTTCAGCGATGACTCCCACATTGCCATCTCTGTTGGCGGCACACGATGGGTCAGTCAGACGCTTCAATGCTCTTTTTATAAAAAAAAAATCCCTGAGAAGCAGCACATTGCAGCTAACCTTTGCCACCTTATCAAGCTACCTTATTACCATGTTCAGGCTGTGAACAGATTAAAATGAAGGTCTCTGTGCACAAATGCCAAGATCTCTGCCATGACATCTATACTTGATCAGCGTAGCTAACTTTTATCCATTTCTCAGAATGAGTGGAGAAAACTTCAAGGTTGGCACCATTTCCAATGTACTTCTGCAGCAATTTCAGACTAAATTATTTAATGTCCTTCATTGACTGATTGATAAATTTATTTCAGAGCGCCATCCATAACAGCAGAAAGATAAGAGGGAGGTTGTAATGCTCTGTATAAAACAAATTTGATAGATCCCGTTCTGAAGACTTAGCTTACAATATAGCAAAAGACACAGGCAGAAGTGGCTCATTGGGTGGTGCAGAATCACTATGCTAGCATCTTGCCAGGTGGGTTGTCATTTTTTACCAAGGGGGATAGAGTAAGGGTCAATGTGATGCTCCTTTCTCTCCCAGTAAGGAACATCCAACCACCCACTGGGCAGTTAGAGCAGTGCCCCCCTCACCCGGAGATGTTTGAGAAATTTCACTCCTGTGCACCCCAATGTCAACTGACCCTACCCATACCTCCAAAACTACTGTGCAGATTGGAACACAATTGCATTTCAGATTTTTCCCTTTTTCAAATTTTGCAACACAGTTCTCTGCTCAGAAAGTATACCAAAATGTTTACATGAGGAATTTGTGGTACAATGAGTATTTCAGGGCAATTGTTACTGTTGTAGAAAAAGAAGAAAGGCAGAACAATGTGGACACGGGATGGATTTATGCAATAACATGTGTGAAAATGACACTGACTATAAACAAGACTCACCCATCAAACACTAGTTACAATATTATTTATTTATTAAAATCCCAGGTTGACCTGAATCAGCCCGATTTGGTTTGGAATCCAAGATCCGGCTGGATCGACTTCCGGGTTGACGCCTCCAGCAATGGCAGAGCTCCTCCGTTCGGGAGGAACTTGCTCTGTGAAAAACAGGGTCTGACCGCCACGGCGAAGGTGGAGACCCATTGAAATCACAAGCGGGAGAAGCTTGTGAACCTGGGATTCGGCTGGCACCTTTTGCGCCTCCCCTACTCGCGGGGAAACCCTGTTTTGGGGATCCGGAGCGACGTGGGGTGAGTGGCGCGGTGCTTTGAATCGACTGCTTTTTTCACGGAGTGAAGCCGCATTGCTGTTGCTGGAGAGCGCTGACTTTTTCCTGTGGACAATTGGATTTTAAACAACTATTCGTGAGTAAATTGGAAAATTGGATTTTTAAATACTTTAATTCGGCACTGAAGCGGGAGGTCATAAACAGGAAGTCCGCCTTCCATTTTTGTATATAGACTGAAGCAAAGACATTACAAGTTAAAGTCTTTGAAAGCTTTTGGCAAAGGATTAAATTTCCATCGGTTTAAAATACAAACCCCCCCTTGGAAGCAGGAGAAGAGGGGTAAATTTTGGATCTAGTGAGCCTGCAGGAGAGAGTGAAAATCAAATTACCACTGCTCTGAACCTGGGAACGGGCTGCCAGATGACATTTGGAGAGAGTGCATTTGACAGAACGGATTTGACAGCTAGCTAAATAAGAGTAAGATACTATTTCCATTGTCCTCCTCTGTGTTTAAAAAAGAGGAAAAGTAACTGAAAATTTATCTTTAATGCTTGAGTTGTGCCTGAAAGAACTGATACAAGTGGAGACTGTTTCCCTCTAGAGGGAGCTTTTGAAACTGTTACAGGAGTGTAACTGGGGGATTTCCAGCTGCAGATAAGGATTCTGAGAACCAGAGAGCGACCTTGGACCATTTAAAAATGTTGACAGGAGAGGCCATTGTGACTGTTTTATGTAAGATAAGCTGTTCGCTGGGACAGCTTCACAAGAAGATGGATGACATGACTTTTAAAGTTGATAATTTGGAACAGAAAGTGACTAATTTGAGTCAAAAAGCGAACACCAACACAGAAATAATTCAGGACTTGGCACAGGAATCCATTTTGGCAGGACAAATGGTGGAGGAGAAGGAGGAGAAGAAGAATGCTGCTGTTGTTGAACATAAAGTAATACAAGTGAGATCCGTGGTTTTACAGAAGCAAATTGAGGACTATAAGTTGAGGCCTTTTATGATTGAATCTAGGAAAAGTCAGACTCTGAGGAATGGATCCCGGCTTGGGCTAAAGAAGGAAAGTTGGAAAGATCCCTCTATGCAGGGATTAACTGACTTTTGGGACATGGACTCGGGCCTGGAGGAGATTGAAGTTTTGGGGGCCTTTGGACTTGGAGGAATCTTGAAATATGCCCTGAAATACTTTATGGACTGTAGCTTTAACTATGGAAATTTGGCTGATCTGTTCAGAAGGAAGAAAAGGATTGACAGGTTGGAGTTTCCCCGAGATTTGCTCTTTAGCATTAAAGAAAATGAAGAAGACCTGCAGAAGGGACTTGGAAAAGAGTTAAGAGCCTCAGACATAAGATCACCAGGTTGATGGACTTTATGGAGTTGACGGAAAGGACTGGCAGAATCCGAAACCAGGGAGAGGAGATGGTGGAAGAAGATTGGAAAATTTAAAGTTTATATATAGACTTATGATAAAACTAATGAGTGATAGAAAAATGGTGGAATGGTTTTTTTTATTTTTTATGGGCTTAGCAGAAATGTTATAAGGAGTTAAGTATATATAAGTATTTAAGTTTTAATGGAAAATAAGGTTAAAAAATACGTTATTTATAATATGACAGAAAATGGAGAAAGATGGAAAGGATTTGCTGATACAATCAAAAGAAGTGGAATACAAAAAGGGAGGTGAGAGGAGGTCGAGGAAACAAGGGAATGAAAGATAGAGTACGGAAAAGAGAGGATGTATGTTTTTAAATTGTTTTTGTTTTGTTTCATTTAGGGTTAAGGTTAGGGAGTGGGGTTTGTTTAGTTTAGTTTAATGTGTTTAGTTTTGAGTTTAGGTTGTGTTTTGCACTGTTTGTATATTGTATTGTATTGTTTTTTCTTTTTGTCTTTTTTATGCTTTCTTTTTCTTTTTTCTCTTTTTGTAATCTATAAAAGTAATAAATATTATTTAAAAAAACAACAACAATATCTGGCTGGATCTAGTTGTTGGGAAAACACCCAGGAAGGCCACCACCTTCCCAAGACACCGGGGCGTCTCTCCGGTGGTCACCCTCTGGCTGTAAATCTTCCTCAATCCTGAGAGACCGGTGATAAGCGACCCCTCCCTCCTGAGAGGAGCACACTCGTCTTCTGGCATCTCATTGCAGAAGAAAGAGACAATCAGTAGCTATAAACTACTTTATTTACAGTCCATATATAGAGAGAATCCACCATCATGTCTGCTCTCTCTCAGCAGCAGTACAGAACAAACATCACAATCAGAAGTGAAAGTAACTTCTCTAGCAGTACTCAGACTTCCTTTCTCACGCTCTCAGACACTCACATGATATAAACAACCATAGTGCTACTTGCTGAGCAGCTGGTGAGATAAAAATCCTAACACTAGTATACAATCTTAATATATATTTTTAGGCTATATATTTTGAAATAATGACTAAAATTTAAACAGATACGCATTACATATTACTATAGTAGGAACCAGGTGATCTGTGTTCCTGCTCACTGTGTTCTCCAGCTGCTCACTGTTGAGAGGCCATTTCAACACACCTGTTTTCCCTTCTTTAATTTTAAATTGCACTTGGGTTAGGCAGCTCTTCAAACAGGGGTCTGTAAAGTAAGACACATGGCCACCCTACTTCCTACTGTTGCTATCACCTATCCACTTGCCAAGCAAATCCAGCAAATAAGGGGTCGGCAGTAGCCATTGCTCCTATATTCACTGCTAATGAGGAAGATTAATAGTAGGCCAAAGAGACACTCGAAAGTGTACTTGGTAGCTTGACCGTGTTCACTCCTCATGCCAGTCAAGTCTTCCTGCTGTTACTTTCAGTGACTGGACTGCTCACATCTTTAACTCTGATACTAAGCTGCCTTATAACAAGTCAAACTGTTGGTTCATTGGTCTGTCTTCACCAACTGGTGGTGGGTCTCCAGGTTTTCAGGTGTGTTTGGGGTCTCCCCCAGCCCTCCCTGGTGATGCCAGGCATTGATCCTGGGACTCTTTGCATCCAAACCATGCTCTACCACTGAGCCACAGCCCTCCCCTTCATTTGGAATGTGAGCAGCTCTACATGTTACAAACAATAATCTGGTTTGCCAAGGGTGTACCATTATTGCACCAGTGCTTCTTGCAGCAAAGATATATAATATGAGTGTCTATTAATCACCCATCTGCATAGTTATGTGCCCTGATTGCCTCACATTCCTCCAATATCCGTGAGGGGTCAAAGAATTGCTCCTGGAATTCACATTTCACCTTTAGTGCATGGTGACTTAGAAACATATGAAGGAGCCTTGTACCAAGAATACCACAAAATGTGGCTCAATATTGTCTGCACTGACTGGCAGTTTCTCTCCATTTTCAGACTCTTTCTCTGCCCTGATACCTGCGGGTGCCAAGGATTGAACCTTGCATGTTTTCCCACACAAAGCATATGCTTTGCCACTGAGCTGTGTGCCTGTTCCAAACAGGATTATTACATAAATAGCTGAACCATTCTTTCAGCACAGCATTATGATGCCTTCCTTCAACCCATATTTATGTAGAACAGGGGAGAGACCTGACATCTGTGAACCTTACAGACCCAAGGGCAAAGTACAAAAGCCCCAGGACTAGTTATAACCTGCAGCCCTCTGTCCATTTTAATCTAGTCTCCCCAAACTAACCTCACTAGAAAGGTATTGTGGCATTTCCAAAATATGTTCAGGCTTTGGTGAGTCTCCAAGGGAAGGGATAATTGCATCATCCGACACAAAATGCAGCCACAGCACTCCTTGCTAATGTGAATATGCCTTATGGCTGGGGAAGTCTCTGTGTGGATCCAGTGTGAATCAATCCCAGCTTCTGGAGTACATTTATAATTTGTTTTGGCTCAGTTGTCCAGTTCTGCTGTTAATTGCCATCTGTTTGGCAATGTTAACTTCATTTAATTTCATCCAGTTGTCAGTGGGGTTCAAGATTCATCTCAAAATGTTCATTGCACCTGTGTATGTACATGGGGAAAAAAAATCATTTAGTACTTCCTTCAAAGAGGCAGATTAAAGCCCTGGGACTGTACTCTTTTTCTGGGAGGAGGAAAAGCAACACTGTTTTTCTATTCCCTAAAGGTTTCAAACTGTAAGTGTTCCTGTCTTATGAAGTGGACCTGAAGAGCATGTTGCGCTTGGAAGCAGAGAAGTAGGAATTATGGACTTAAGTTATTCTGATATTTTCTTTTTAATTGTTCCATGGGTTCACTCTGTCACGCATTCAACTCTCCCTGAAATCTCATTTAATCAGGAGAATTCCTGAAATTTCATAATTGGTTGTTGCAGTGTTCAGTATCTTCTAATCATTTACACTTTTAGCTTTCTTTTACTGATGTGCACTTGTGCATTGACAAAACAAAGACAAAAAAGCAACCTTTGTGCACTTGTACTTCAGAGTATGCTGAACTTTTCAACTTTTCAAATTCTAAAAATGAGAAATCCTAAAAAGCTGTAACATGACTTGAGCATTCAAAAGATATTATGTTTAAATTAATATAATTTTGTCTTGCTCAGTAAGTAAAATGTGTGCAAAATTGCACAGAAGCTTTTAAAAATGGCTTGCGAAAAGTACTTGCAATTCTTGTTGTTTTGAATTACCTGAATTTTTCAGAAGGTAAAATTTAAATTCTTTGGTTTTTCCAAAAGCATTTGATGTGCTTCTTCAACAAACATAGACTTACCAAGATAAATGTTGTCCAAAATGTTAGCAGACCTAAATTTCTCACATACAAAACCATATGTTTAGGACCCCTTACTGAAGGAATTTCAAGAAACAAGTTTAACCCTGTAAAATGTTGTGCCCTACTTGTACCTATGGTTACAGCAAGATTCTTTTAGTGCGGGGTTTTACTAGAGCCCCCATACACTACTGGTTACTTATAGTTGCAGCCAGGCCCATGCTATAGTTATAATGCTATTGGGGTGAGAGCTCTTGGAATATTGTGTACAGTTCTGGTTGCCAAAACCCCTAAAAAGAATATTGTAGATTTGGAAAAGCTGCAGAAAGGGGCAACCAAAGTATTCCAAGGGAGAAGCCTCTATGAAGAAAGGTTGCAGCATTTCAGATTTTTTTAGTTTAGAGAAAAGGTGAGTAAGAGGTAACATGATATAAAACTATGTATGGCATGGAGAAAGTGGATAGAGAAAGATTTTTAGACAGAAGTACTGTTTTTGGGGCACAGGGGGCGGGGTGTGTGTGTGGGGGGCTCCCTGGTCCTGAATGGGGTAACTGTGCCCTTGAAGGACCAGGTGTGCAGCTTGGGAGTCATTTTGGACTCACAGCTGTCCATGGAGGCACAGGTTAATTCTGTGTCCAGGGCAGCTGTCTACCAGCTCTACCTGGTACGCAGGCTGAGACCCTACCTGCCCGCAGACTGTCTCACCAGAGTGGTGCATGCTCTAGTTATCTCCCACTTGGACTACTGCAATGTGCTCTACATGGGGCTACCTTTGAAGGTGACCTGGAAACTGCAATTAATCCAGAATGCGGCAGCTAGACTGGTGACTGGGAGTAGCCTGAGAGATCTGCATTGGCTCCCAGTACGTTTCTGAGCACAATTCAAAGTGTTGGTGCTGACCTTTAAAGCCCTAAATGGCCTCGGTCCTGTATACCTGAAGGAGTGTCTCTCATCAGATGTCAAGGAAATAAGCATCTATCTTATTTCTAAAAGACATCTGAAGGCAGCCCTGTTTAGGGAAGTTTTTAATATTTAATGCTGTATTGTTTTTAACACTCGATTAGGAGCCGCCCAGAGTGGCTGGGGAAACTCAGCCAGATGGGCAGGGTATAAATAATAAATTATTATTATTATTATTATTATTTTATCCCTCTCTAATAGCACTAGAACTTGTGGTCATCCAATGAAGCTGAATGCTGGAGGATTCAGGGCAGATGAAAGAAAACACTTCATCACACAATGCTTAGTTAAAACTATGGAACTTCCTCTCACAAGAGAGCTCTAAAGAGGTTTAGACAAATTCATGGATAAGTCTATCAATGACTACTAGCAACGATGGAGGTTATGCTCTGCCTCTGTGGACCATGGAGTCAGTATGCTTTCAAATACCGGAAGAGGAGAGTGCTCTTATGCACAGGTCCTGCTTGCAGGTTTCCCACAGACAACTTCGCCACTGTGAGAACTAGATGGATGACTGGCCTGATCCAGCAGGCTCTTATGTTCAGATCAGAGTTTGCCTTCACTGGTGGCTAAGAGACTTACACTGCAAGGTTAGAAGGACAAACACCTACCAACTATCACCCAATGGTTGGGAGAGTTCAGTGCCCTTTCTGTGTTTGAAGGTATGGCTCATGGGTAGGCAAACGAAGGCCCGGGGGCCGGATCTGGCCCAATTGACTTCTAAATCCGGCCCATGGACGGTCCGGGAATCAGTGTGTTTTTACATGAGTAGAATGTGTCCTTTTATTTAAAATGCATCTCTGGGTTATTTGTGGGGCCTGCCTGGTGTTTTTACATGAGTAGGATGTGTGCTTTTATTTAAAATGCATCTCTGGGTTATTTGTGGGTCATAGGGATTCATTCATTTCCCCCAAAAAATATAGTCTGGCTCCTCACAAGGTCTGAGGGACAGTGGACCGGCCCCCTGCTGAAAAAGTTTGCTGACCCCTGGTGGCTTATCAAAGTCAATTTCATTTAAATAACTATTTGGACTTCTTGTTTTAATATACAATATTGATGAAATATTGCTAATGGGTTGTATCCACCTAACAGTAGATCCATTCATTCTAACGAACTTGTAAGTTGTTATGGCTGTTAACTTGAATGTATCTACTCTGAGCAAGGCTAGCATTGGATATCACACAATGTCAGCTGGCGGTGGTATCATTGTTATTTGTTTTTATATACCTTCTCTTCCCACCCCCGCCTTACAATTGGAAATAAATAAGCAAATGAGACTCTGGGCGAATAATGCTTTGTCTTCACATATAAATAGCTATAATGTTTTAAATAACAACCACCACACACCTTTTTATTGCCAGGTAGTGCTTGCCAAGAGCACGTGACCCTCTCTGCTACTCTGCCGGCTCTCCTTTGGATCCACGATACCCACTTGTTCTGTCAGTGTCTCATTATACGTGTCACTGATAGCCTGCTTGGCCTCAAGCCACATGGCAAGCTGACAAGATGTGAAGCAGTTTGGCAGTTTCCATACAGGGCACAGCTGCCACTCTCTCTTATCCTCCATTTCCCAAAAATCAACTGGTTTTGGCAAGAGATCATAAGCAAGGACTAAGCAGTAACGGTGCATCCTTTTTAGTAATCATAGCAATAGAAACATCAACCTGTCTCAACATTTCCTATTTTTTTCTCCTCCCCCATTCCCTCTCTGTTACAGCTTCTTCTCACTGATGGAGAGGCAGGAGAGTCATTTCCCTTTTCCCTTACTTATTTCTCAACTTGAGTTTTCTTTCCTTTTTAAATGTTGATTGATTTTATCCGAAGTAGCCCACAGAAAACATAAATTAAAACATAATTAAAATTTTGAGCCTAGTCTCTGGAACTGGATTTCATTTATGTTTTAAGCTAACAAGCTACAGCAAAAATCAGAAATTACCCTCTACAAAGTATCACTATTATTCTTACTGTCACTGCAGCATCAACAAACAACTATGTGTTCTACAAAGTAGAAACCTAAGACTGATTGATTTACTATACCACCTTTCATCCAAGAATCAAAGAGGGGGGTATGTAATATAAAAACAGAGAAATACCTACCGTAGTAACAAAAGCAATACCCCACCCCACCTGCAGTTTAAAAGGCCATAGATTGTTTAACAAGCTGAAGGCCTGGGAGAAAAGGACTGTTTTTGCCTCATGCCTAAAGATATGTAATGAGGGTACCAGACAAACCTCCTTGGAAAGAGCATTCCACAAGCGGGGAACCACTTAATTAGGAAAATCATCCATTCAGTCCATTCAGTTTGATTTATTGTGCTTAGCCAGCAGCCACATAAACATAATAATAACAAGAATACTGCTAAAAATCATTA